CATGTGTAGTTCACATGATGATGAGCACGTACATATCATCACACTGCATTTCCGTTGCACGCAAAGGTGCCAGCTCTCCGTCTTTCGTGATGCATACATAACGATCATTTGGTTTTAGTGCACTTTCGTCATAAATTACAATTTGTATCACTTTATATTTTATACCTAATACACAAAACAAAAAAATATATATTTGGGAATTGGAAAGTTTCACGCGCAGCCTCTCATTGGTTGAAATATTTCAGATTTCAAAATAATCAGGTTTTGAAAAACACATTTGTGGTGATCATAGACGTAAGTATAATACGTAAATACGTTTAAATTCAATGCGTAAACGTGGTTAACCAAGGGCGAGAGATCAGAGAAATGGGGATGCTCACTCCTGTCGATAGACGTCAAAACGTGGTACGTCTACGCTGAATATGGGCTACGTTATGAGCCTGCCTGGGGCTGGGAGTCTACGACTCTGTGGACTATTTACGGTCTGTCGGACTGTCACACATCATATATTTTCTAAAAATTAGACAAAAACCAAACAAATCATATTTGTTAATATAAAATATTTTTTTAATCTATTTATTACAATATGCGAAATGATATTGTTGTAAATTTTAAAAACAAGTAATTTTATATATATATAAATATATATTTTTTCAATTTTTCAGCACGGTGTATATGTTTTGATTTAATAAAAATATAAATTCTTTGATGAGAGTTTGCGACAGAATATATAATGTGTATTATACTATTATTTAATTTACTATGTATTCGATTTGTCGACGTGACAAGAAAATATTATATTTTAAAAGAGGAGTCGAAGACTGGTCTTCAAAAAAACAAGTAATCTGTTTGCAGAATTTCGACTGGTGGTGACTGTGAGAAATGCTTGTGTACATGAATTTGCTTGACAACGGTACACGAGAGCGAATAGAATTAAAGGGTTGTTTGACAACGTATTGAGTTTTCTTATCTTGCAGTGGTTTGTATACGATAGTTTTAAGAAATACTTCAAGAGAAAATCTCGTACCAAATAAAATGTATTATATGTCATATTGGAATATACGTGTTTTGTGATGGGCGGGTCTGGTGAAAGACAAGAAGGGTACTAATAAGGGCTCTCTTTCTATTTCGTTGGTACTTCTTTGCATCTATTCGAAGGTTTACATCATGAAGACAACAATATCGACAGTATTTTTACTAGCCGTTGCCGCATATACCAATGCGCAACAGGAACTGGCCTATTTCTCACACAAGGGTAAAGCATTCGATGTAGATGGTTTCGATGCCAACTCATACTCGTACACCGGATTCAACAAGTACGGAAAGGACAAGTATGGTCGCTCCTACACGGAGGCCGAGTCTGGTAATGGCGCTGAGGTATCTGCAGGGGTAGACGGAGCGGGCCGTGTCGGAGTAGGTCATCTATCGCCATCCATCGCCTCCACTGCCGATGCTGACCCTACTGAATCCGGCGATTGGTCAAACTATTGGCCGAGTTTCGGACACGGAAAGGATCGTGTCCACAAGAAAGAGGGAATTGTGAGAGCCGGCAACGGCAAGATTATCGATAAGGCATGGTACCACATGTCGAATCGCCCGGCCCCTACAGTCACCGAGACTCAAACCCAATTCGAGTTCACCGAGGTCTATATCACTAGTTCGGTAGCACCCACCGAAGACTTTTGGTGTGATGGAGGTTGGATCCAGCTCACTAAAGAGGGAGATCTTATGGATGATGACTGGGCTGTTGCCTACATCACCGGATACCTACAAGTGATTGGCGCCAACGTTGATGACGTCGATACATACGATTGGTGTTTTAATACAAGGAATGAAAGTAACGCTGGCGCATGTGCCCGCCAGCAAGCATCATCTCACAGCCCTGAAGATATTGCCGCCGCCTTTGAAAGCGCTACCGACGACCACACATCCCAAATTATTCTGTTTGTTTGCGATCTACCCTGTCTAGATTCCATCTGCAAGGCTACACAGGAAAACTACGACAAGCTCACTCCACTGCGCCTTACTGAGGTCAGTTTTACAAAGTCTTCTGGAAGTACTCGAGATGTAAACACTACATGTATTGATGGCGAGGGCATCTACAGTCCTCCTAACTCAGCAGGAGGCAAGACCTTCAACTTCTGTCCCCAGGGACAAGTTTGCAACGTAGATGGCGAGGCGCAACCCGGAGATGCATCCTGCGTGTGTGAAGCATGCGCAGATGTACTGTCCTGTCTTTCATCTACCTGTTATGTGACACACAAGATCAAGTATGAAACCAAACCTGAAGCCGAACCCGAATGGGTGTCCCAGCCAAAGTGCCTACCCGTGAATGGACAGCCTTCATGTTATTTTGGATACTACGAATCTAATGGACAGTGCAATGAATGTCCCTATGTCGATAACTGTAAAATGGGGTCTTCGGTGTGCACCGGATTAATGAACGCAATGTGCGCGTTCGGAGGGTGCCAAAAAAATTACATAAATACTGCAGCGCCCGGAGGATCTGGTTCATGCTTGTGCTTGTCAGAGCCGACAGAGACTTCTTGCAAACCCCAGTGCGCAAATGCCGATAACTGTGGTAAGTATAGTGTACTGTATCTAGTCGACACAATCGACCCAATTATTCCAATTGTCGCTGTTATGATCTACTTTTTAATTGTTTAAGACCTTATCCCGACAATTCACATTTCTGTGTCCTGTCTCTTCATCCACCCACCCAACAATTTGCAGGTTCAGTTACAGTTATCTCTGAAGTTTTCATGCCGGACGGTACTCTCGTGCCTCGATCCAATACTGGATTTACACTAACGTGCACCGCTGATGGCACCGTCGGTGACGAGATCAAAAGTGTTACTGGACGTAGCGGTGAAGAAACCGTTAATGCCGATCCTTGTGCATACGTACTGTCGCTAGATAGAGAAGAGATAACGATTGACGGTGTTGTCTACGTTGCGCTTGAGGGTAATGGCGACGAGGCCACAGTAATGAATGGCACCTCGAGCACAATCAATGTCAGATTTGTTCCCGAAAACAGTGTTGGAGTCCTCGTATTAAATACCTTAACTGGTGAGCCCATCGAAGGTATCAATGTTACCGCTAACGGTAATGTAACCAAGACAACTGGTCCTACTGGCTCTGTCCTCTTCTCAGCAGAGGAAGCAGAAATCCCAGATGGTTCTGCGTCCGTATTCATGGTGCCAGAAACAACTGACGGCTTATTCTTGGTCTCGTTTAACAACATTGTCGCCACTCCGAATGATGGTACCGATGGTGGCACCACCCGCAGACGTGCCGCGGATGCCTTCGTCGTTCCTGAGTTTGACTATGTACAAAATGGTACCCTCGTTGTGAAGCTCACGCGCAGTGATGGAACATCACCCCTGGAAGGCCAAATTGTGTCAGTCTCGGTCAACGGTGGAGAGGCCACAGTATTGGCAGAGATGTCACCTGGTATCTATGCATTGGATGGCCTGGAGGACGGTGACGAGGTACAAGTAACCCTGCCAATGGTTGCTCAAGATACAGATGACATTACGTATGGCGGACCCTTGCTACGCAGTCCAGATACCCCGGTTGTGGATGTGGATTTCGATGGAGGTTCTCTAATCGTGGCTGTATATGGAACTCCGGTCCCGGCTGCAAGTCCACTTCCAACCCCGTAAGACCTACGGTCTAAATAATGACATACAAACAGATTTACCGGTTCACAACTAAGAAGTGCACTCAGTGTTGCTAATTGGAAGATCAAGTTAGTCGTTCAAGGACATGTGGCGATATCGCAGATATCGCACATAGTCTCCCTCAGCTAAGAATGTCGCTTCATTTTTTAGTATTCAATAAAAATTACATTCTGATACAGACAAGATTCAGTCATTTTTTCTTTTCAATACCTTTTAATAAAAAGCATAAGTCTTCATGTCTCACGTTGCAGATTATAATTATACACACACAAACACACACACACACATATATATATATATATATATGTGTTTGACCGTAGTTTATGCTTGGTAAACAATCCTGGTTTACTGTGTGATCAATACTCCCCCTGAAGCTGTAGATGTGGTTCGACGGTATATATATATATATATATATATACACACGTATATATGTATACACACACT